GACGTGCACGCAAAAATGTGCCGAGCTCTAACATTTGTATTAAAGGACAAATGGAAGCATCATCCAAACGCCAGAAATAATGACCTCAACTCGACCTCAGATATATATACAATTTTCTAATGCATTCCGACACAAACAATTCAACGGTATCATCATCCGTGCAAACACATGCATGTACATAACAAATTGAATGACAAGTGTGTCCTAAAAGCATAAAACCCAACCAAAATATTGGAACGTGGATTAATCATTACTTACAGCATAATGATGAGTATTTCTCTTACAAAAATGATTAAAAAGTCCTTAAAAATCGCTTATAAGAAGTATCATTGACACAGCAAAAGGAAGAAAAATCTTAAAGATCCAATCTTCTACCCTAAAAATATTCCCAAATCAAGAGAAAATAGAGTTGACAATCATGAAAACCTCAGTATTCTTCGATCAAAGCTTCATTTTTGGTCAATTCATTTATAAATTGATGGAAATGAGTAGTGCACAAATGAGCACTCTTACAAAATGTGTTAATAAGAAGTTATTTGACTAATAATAAATAGATTATAATAATGCTGTGTGTACACTTCAAGGTGTACAAACGGATTTACATCCCCTTGCATGAAGGGACCCACATATAATTTATTGTATGTGGACCCCATCCATGTGAGGGGGTGTTACCCGGGTGTACATTGTTATGTACACGTAGCATCACACAATAGATTATAAGCATAGCACGATAACACAATTTCAATAAAATAAGTTTTATGATAGATCCTATCTATTAAGAACCTTCAAATCTTATTTTGGAACTCAAAATCCATAATCAGACAATAAATTTTCCTAACCTAGTTTTTGGAATGTACAACACAAGTAAAATGTCGGAAAAGAATGGCGTTTGTTTCCCATTTTTGTAAAAATGAGAATGAAAAATATAATCGATATGAGTTTCACGCAAGAGATAAAAATTCAAATTTGATGGCTTGATGTGATGAATAACGATCATATTTTTTATTTTAGTAGGGAAAGAATGGGAAACAAATTGGGGCTAACATACACAATTCAAACAATTACTTCATTAAGCAATAAACACCTATCTATATTTTTCAAACCATAATTTATGACTTAAGTAGTCAAGATTCTGATCAGATTACATTAAGCCCTCGTTTGGTCTCCATTTTCTACAAATGAAAATATGTGGAATAATATTTTTTTGAAAAATGAGTGATTGAAAAAGAAGGAATTTTTTTTGATTTACGTGTAATATTATTTTATGAAAGTTTGTGTGGTTGAAAATGGAGGAAAGAAAGATGGAATGTAATGTAATAGAATTTAATGGGGGCTAAAGGGGGCTAATATTCAAACTTTATGAAGTGTGAAAACCAAACATTTTATCCACTGCCGTAAAATTTGGGTCAAGATTTCCTTTTATGCTACGATTTTCAAATGAGGAAATTACATTCACACATGTTTTTCTATTTTTCATTTCAATAATTAGATCATTAAATTATATTTTCAAAAATCGGGTGTACACCACCCCTATTCCACCCTAACTATAATTCATTTTATACCCGAACAAAAGGTCACGGGAACTTCAACTCCATTCCACTTTTCTCCTGCACGATCACCGTTCTCACCAATGATCGGTAGTTGGAGAAACATTGGAGGTGAACAATGTGTGGATTGCTAGTCGAGGAAGATGAGCTGTGGATGATGGCAGTGGCAGTGACAAAGATGATGTTGGTAAACGGTGGTGGATGTGGTTGTTAAACTGATATAAGGTGATGGCAGTTCAAAAGCTTATAGATGAAGAGGTACATAGATGAGCCATGATGACATGTGGTAGCTTATGAAGGTGAGAGTCTCTAGGTGACGACAATGGGTTTGATTTTCATTGAGGTGTTTTGTAGATCCGATAGCGATGGTGGTGAATTGTAATAGATTGTGGGCTAGGGCTTTGATTTGGATAGCGACGACGCACTGGCCTGGTGCTGTCGGTGAACGTGGTGCCAACAACGGTGTAACTTAGATGGACGAAGTTTTTGTGACTTGGTGGTGGTGGATATGTGGGGATTCTAGCAATCAAGTGGGTGGCCAATAAAATATGTCACTTAATAAATATGTGATTTGTGATTAAATTTGTAATTGATTAAATTAATCTGATAATTTGTAACCAATAAGCCCATGTTTGAGACCCAATTTTCAATAACTCATTTTTAACTATACATTCTCTCATAATATAATTTTACACGCAGATCCAAGTTTTTTTTTTATTATACTTTTTAACTATACATTCTTCCAAAAATCAATATTACAAAATCTATTTATCCTAAAAAAGGGGGTTCAAACAAGGGCTAAATTAGTTTTGATCTTAATTTGATAATTTATGATCGATAAATAAGTTGTATGATTTGTGACTAAATTTATAATTGTGATCCACATTTTGTGTTTTTGTGACTGTGACGTTTTGTTATTATGACTAGTATATAATTTGACCATAAATTATACGTTATCATGACCTTAATTTATTTAATTATCTATTTATTTAATACTACATTATTTTTGAAAGAATTTCACAATTTTGTTAAGTTTTAAAGTGTATCTTTAAAAGTTGACAATTATGTATTTTTTCCTTTTCAATCCCCTAGGTCCCCAACCATGTTGATTGTTACAATTGACACTTTGGACCAGTTTGAAAGAACTTTTAAAAAGTCAAAAATTACTTTTACAATTAAGAAATTAGTTTTGAACATATTTAAATAACTTTTTTATAAATATTTTGTATAACTAGAGTTTTTTTTTTTTGTAAAAGTTGACTGAAGGTTCTCCCACAAGAATTAGAAGCAAAAAATACAAGTTTTGTTAAATGAGTTCTTTGTACTTTAACGTAAACATCATGAAGTTGGTCAATGAAATATTATTAGAGGTGTCGAAAGAGGTCAGTCGACTCGACATGAGTTATGTTAGTCATGCCATACCAGATCATTTTTTCAATTGTTCAATCGATCATTTTGGCATCCCTATATATTGCCCTCGCCATAAATTTAGTTCTCATTGAAATGAATGAATGAAATTGTCGCAGCCTACAGATCCCATGTTGATTTTTATTAAAATAATTTATAGGTAATATCATGGTAGCATAAATCCATAAATGTGATGTTTGGCCTCTCGGGGCATAGCCTAGTGGTGCAAATGATAGGAGTGATGTTATCTCACGCTTTGCTGGCAGCCGCAGTAAGGGGGTTCGATTTCTGAAACATGAAATTGGACTCTTTGTAGGCACAGTATACAAGCAGCTTTTGTTCTCTAACCTGATGGGGCACATCTCGCAATTTACCTCCTTCACAAAGCTCTAGTGGTGGGGTGGGATGATGAGAGCTCTCAAGGTTGGGGTTCAACCTTTTTTGTTTATAAATGTGAAGTTGGTCCCACACCCCTAGTAAGTAGGTAGCGTTCATAAATTCTATGTACTACAACTGAAGAATAGCAGTGTTAGATACAGCGTGAAACAAGACCCACTTCTTTTGTTCCAACATGAAAGGATAAGGCCAGTCTTCTATTCACTTTACCAAAAAGAAAACCATAGTCTGGAGATAGATACTATAACGCTTTGTACAAAGGCCTTGTTTGGAAAGTTTTCAAAATTGAAAAGATTTTAGAGCATGTTTGATCAAAAAGGCTCTTATCTTCATGCGTTTAAGTCGATTTTTACACTTGGTCTAAATTGAAAATAAATTCAAATTTAGAGTATGAATAGTGCTATATCCTTTGTAATTTATACTACAGGACATGACGAAGATATTCACAATAGTTTACATAGTGTTAAAAAAATAGCATAAGACTACTAGAATAAGTCACGAAGTTAACATATGGTCAAAGATCTGCTCCTTAGAACACTTGCGTTGCTGGTGGAATGTGTATTCAATGTAAAAAATTATCATGTTAAATGTGAATACCATGCTAGGATTATAAAGTTCCATAGTATCGTGTCACTTGTCAGAGTTATTGATCAGAATGCCAAGCTAATTCCTGTGGCACTTATCCATAACTACGTTACACGTGCATTACTAGTAGAATATGTATTCAATGTAAAGTTCTGATACGTTTAATCTAAAGACAATGATAAGACAATAAAGTTGTCATAATATCACGCCATTTGTCAAAGAATCTGATATTGGTTTGATATTCGAAGTTTATTAATGTCAACCATCCATAACTATATTATACGCGCATTACTAGTAGAATGCGTACTTGATAAAAGGATTGGCACGCATAATGTGAAGACAATGATAAGACACTAAAGTTGTCATAATATCACATCATTTCATTCCAAGTTTATTCAGCGCCAATGGCCTAACAAAATTTCAAGGGTCACTCCTAATTTAAGTCAATGATGTAGATCTATTAAGCTCTTTAGGTGTGTTTGGATGTTGCTACAAGGATTTCAAAAAAAGTTTTAATAGCTCTAAGCCACTAGCTCAACTCAAATTAAGAATTGTGATTATTTGTTAATTTTTTAATCAAATTCATTAATAGGACGACCTCTTTCTTTCAATTATTATGGCTTTGTTATAACAAGTAATGTGATAAGAACGTATTTAATTCACCTTAACCCTATGCATTGATTGAAGGGTACAATATTTGTCAAGTCAAATTTTAATGTCGATTCTAAATTTGTTGCATCATAATTAAATTTAATGTTAGACTCTAACATTTATAACGTAGTATTAAATAAGATTGAATGTGTGAATTGAGTCTTTATAAAAGGGAACAAAAATCAAAAACTTCATTTATACAAATTTACCTTGACAAAAAGAAAGCAACAAAATAGGGTAAAGAGCATTTATTGTTATTATCCACAAAGTTTTTGTGGCAATAAAGGGGGTCCCACACAATAGACTAATTCTTCCACGTGGCTCCTCTCTGTTCATTTTTCAAGAGGTATGACTCTTTTGAGGAAGTAACGGAAACTGAACAACTGATGAAACAAATAATTAAAAACGAAAAAGGAGAAAATTAATATACCGTAAGTGTACATACAAGGGTGTGTATCTATAGGTTGTGGGAGAGAACAAGCAGAGATTTGTGTTGGGTTTGCTTTTTCATACAATATATACATATATAGGCGTATAAGGGATCATTCACGAGTCTTCTCTCAACTAGTTTTGTTTTATTTTATATTTTTTTTATGCACCTTTTTCTGTTCAATTTCTCTTTTTCTTCCGAGGTTTCTGTTTGTTTCTGTGAGAATTTATTACGGCGGTTACAGCTGCAGAGGGACGGTGGGTGGGCATTGTGTGTATATATACAGCGTCCTCCTTGACCCAACTCTCATTCAAATATATTTCAATAATCAGAGAGTTTTTGAGAGTGAAAAGAATGGAGGGTGCGAAAAAATCACAATCAGGTTCTTCATTTACTTCTGATCTTTTTGGCTCAAAGGATTCTACTTCTGGTTCAGTTTTCGGGTCACTCTTAGCGCCTCCTGATAAGGTAATTGATTAATGTTTTATGATTTAATCGGCTCACTGCATTCTGTAGAATTCTGAGAATGAGTTGTTGCTACCTTTACATAGATTTTCTAATTCTTTTTCTGGGTTTTTGTAGTCTAATTGGAGGGTTTAAGAATTTTTATGTGAATTAAATCCACTTCATTAGGTAAAAAGCCTGAAGGGAAATTGAGGGCTTTGTTCGATTTGAGTGTTTCTTAGTTGAATTAAATTAAATTGAAATACAGTTTCATTTTTAATCTGTGAAAATTTTATTCATTTGTGATAAGCTTTGTGAAAAGGAGATTTAGTCTATTATCCATAATGATAATTGTTTCGTTGATTCAGCTTTTCGGACGGGAGTCCCTGCATTCATATGAATCTAGGAAGAAAGATGACGCTGCAACTCAGGGTCGGAGTGGCAAGACTGGAGTTCCAAGTATGTAATTGAAGTTGAATTTATTGATGAACTGCATAAATGATGATAAAAGTTCTGAAAATTGCTTTTCACTATATGTTAACTAATACAGAAGATAATGCTCCGAGCAATGAAGAAAAAAGCCAGAGCAGTCAAAGCAAGGACATCAATTCTTATTTTCAGGAGGTGAAATCGATCCCTTGTAATTATAGTTCATCGATATACTATGGTGGTCAAGACCTCTATACTTTACCAGAGAGTACCCAGGGCTCTTTCTTTACAACTGTGAGTACCCTTTACGACAATGTAAATGCTTGTTAAATTACATATTTGTTTTATGCGGTCCTTGCAATTTATTTGGCATTGATATCTCGATTATCCCTTATAAGTATGTAAATGCAGAATGAATTACATGTTTGGTTTATGCGGTCATTGTAGTTTATTTGGCGTTGATAGTTAATTATTTGGTCTTCAACTTAACACGCGTTGCTATTCTTCCCTTATAGCAATTACTGATTAAAATCGAAGTGATTAGTCCATTAATGCTCTTTTGACAGAACTGTTTTGATTGAAATCCCAAAAATTAAAACATTTTAGTGCTAATGATAACGTGTTAACTTCTTTTCGCTTTATGTTCAGTTCACAGATGAGGCAGGAGATGACTCGGGCATGGCTTCGAGAGGCAACTGGTGGCTAGGTGGGTTCATATGACTATTTATTGTGTGACGTGATATGGTGGCTAAGCTTTGCTTGTATTAACACGTTTTTTCTTTCTTTCTTGGCAGGATCTCTTTATTACTAGCTGATCATCACCATGGCCTGTGAATTTACTACATAGTTACCTAGGTATTTATCATGAGAGTTCTTGCAGGAATGCAGATTTACACACAACATTTTTTGACATTTCTTTTCATTATATGCTGGATCTCTGAAATAGTTTTCCTTCTCTGTACTGATAATCATGTATGTAAAGATCAAATCTGGCCAAAGATTTATTGCTACTTTTTCACATCATCAATTTATTTGTCAACGATCAAGGGATTGTTTCTTTTTCGCTTGGCTGTTTATCTTTATGATTGATTTGATTAATTGTTCTTATTTTTCTGCAGGGAGACATAGATAGATGTTGGGCAGCAGCAGTTTTTTCATACTTCCTGCAATAATGGAAAAATAGATAGAAAATAGCAGTTAGCCTTGCATTTGTTATGTCTAACTATAGCAATTATTACTAGTAGCTGTAGTTGGTAATGTTTCCCTTTTTACTCTCTATACTACCAGATGTAAAGGTATTAAACTTGGTGATTTTAGCCTTTACGGCTGTAGAATGCATATATATTATGCTCATCTATCTTACTATCAACATTTCTTCGGAAGAATATATGTTATCCCCGCTCGTTTGGCTGTAGTATGTGTATATGTATTATGCTTGTCTATCTGTGTATACCAAACATGTTCGTAGTATATTGTCTAAGACTTTGGTCCATCTTTTAGCAACATATAGAAATTCAAGATGTTAAGAATGGGCGACTGTTAGCATATTTCAAGGATAAAAACTATTTTGACTGTGGAAATATAAATCACCACTACGACTATCTTTGTTTAAATGAAAATGATTTCTGTTGCTTTGGGTTGTGTTTGACGACATTTTGGAATCTAGTAAATTTGTTGCCAGATTGAGATAAGATTAGATGGGATTGAATCACGTCGAAAAACATTGAAGTAATAAGTGGAAGAAATGCTGGGGAATAATAAGCATTGAGA